CAGTAATAGTTTTGGTCTGGTTGCAACTGGGTGGGCTGCAGGAGAAAAACAACTCTTCATAATCTGAAATATCCTTAAGTGCTGTAAGTTTTCACTAATTCAGTTTTTGATAAACTCTTAGGGTATCTTTGAAGGAAGGTGGTTATTTGTTGGGGAGAAAGTTCCTTGTTAGGTTTCTTGAGGGTCTTTGCTTTTTTTCCATTTAACTTGTCTAAATTTATATCTTTGTTTTAAACCTTGTTTAAGAGGCAGGAGCAAAAACTGTTTACTCCTTGTTTTAGAAGCCTAGCTTATTTGCCTTTTAATGCTCATAGCTTTATGAATGTGCCCTGAGGCAGAGGGCACCGTACACCTCTCCCCACCACCCCTCCAGTTGTCTTTAGCATACTAGTGAAATTCTTCTCCTTGCTCAGTTAAGATTATAGTTGTTTGCATTTTAACCCTGATTTTATTTATATTTGATTAAGTCTTGAAAAGAATCTGAAATTGCAGTTGCTATAACCTCTGCTTTTTCATAGCTTTATTTTAGATGGAGACTGAGTATACCTGAATGTACACCTGTTACTTTTAACACTTCATGAAGGGAAAGACAAAAATACTCCTCTTAATTATGTTCTCTTTGTTTACGCAGCAATGTTTTCTGCAAGTGACAGGTTATAAGAAGCTCTTCTGTATCTGAAGAACTTTCCTCATGCCTTTGATGTTATTAAGTGTCTTACATTTGGTATATGCCTAACTCATGTTTCTAGAACCAAGGACAGCCCTTTTTCCTTTAGCTGATATATATTTCATATCTTCCTCTGTCTCTTGTCTTTTATCATGACTTACCTACTCCTGTTTCAGGGTTGTTTGTTACTTACTTTTTATAACAAACATCCTGTTCAAATTTTACTGTATTTCTACAGGTTGCATTTGCTACCTCATGTTAATCACACTTTAAATAGGTTTTATATGAAGCTGTTTGTCTTGGCATGTTTCAGACTTCTTGATCAATTTCTGTTTTAGTTCTTTTAGAATGCTTGGTTTTAACTGGCAATCCATATAGTTTTTGACTTCTCTGAGGGAAAAAAAAAATGATGGAGCTCAGCAAACTTGTCTCCATTCTAAAGTTAAGGTAGTTACTGTAGTGGCCTTAAGTTACCCAGTCTGAGCAGAAATTGTATCACCAGCTAAGACTTCGTTATTCTAGGAAGTATGTGCAAAGCCTCGGCTGCTGTATATAAACATGGGCTTCCAAACTGAGTTTAATCTGCATGTACAAGCGACTCCAGTGGCTGTCTAGAGTAGATCATAGAATGGTTTGGGTTGGAAGGGACCTTTAAAGACCATCTGGTCGAACTCCTCTGCCATGGACAGGAACATTTTTCACTAGATAGGGTGCTTAAAGCCCCATACAACCTGACCTTGAACACTTAAGTGATGGGGCAGCAGCAGCTTGGGGCAACCTGTTTCAGTGCCTCATCATCCTCATTGGAAAACATTTCCTCCCATGTCCAGTATAAATATATCCTCTTTCAGCTTAGAGCCACTGTCCCCTGTACTGTCACTACAGACCTTGGTAAAAAGTCTTTCTTCATTATTTTTTTAAGCCCCCTTTATATGTCAAGAGGCTGCAATAAAGTCTCCACAGAGACTTCTCTAGGCTGAGCAACCCCAACTCTCTGTCTTTCCTCACAGGAGAGGGGTTCCAGCCCTCTGACCATTTCTGTGCCCCAACAGGTCCATGTCTCTCTGGTGCTGAGCACTCCAGAGCTGGACACGGTGCTCCAGCTGGGGTCTTACCAGAGTGGAGTAAAGGGAGAGAATCACCTCGCTCGACCCTTCTGGCTGTTCTTTCTATGCAGGATGCAGTTGGGTTTTTGGGCTGTAAGTGCACATTGCCAGCTCACATCCAATTTTTCATGCACCAGTAGCCCCAAGTCTTTTCCTGTGGGGTTGCTTTCCATCTGTTGATCACCCAGCCTGTTCTGATACTGGGGAATGTCCCAGCCCAGGTGCAGGACCTTTCGTTTGGCCTTGCTGAGCTATATGAGGTTAAGGTGACACTGGTGGTGCACCTGCGAAAACAACAGCCAACATCTTATCTGGAGGGGCATGGGAAATGTCTCTTTCTGGAAAACTGATGATCCCCTCTGAAGAGAGTGCTTAAGAAGTGATAGAATTGTAAACTTGACCTCTGTCTCAAATGAAAGTATTTCTGGAGAGTTTTATGAGACTTTATTGAAGCAACTTAATCTGACATGTTCATGATTTTTATCATTTGCATACCTCTGTGGTAACGGCTGATTAAAATGCCCTTGATGGTTTGTAAGAAACAGTGGGATTCCTTTCACTCTGCAGTGCTAGTTGCAGAGGCATTTTTTTCAGGGTTATACAGAACATGTTTGAACTTCTGCTATAAAATGCTGTGGGAGGTACACCTGCAGCCAGGATGTGCATCCAACTGGTGTTCTATTTGTCTAGGCCAGTGGTTTTTTTTATGTGTACTTTTGAGAAGTTGGTAGCTGTATGAATGTTCATTCTTTATCTGCATAGTGTTTGGGCTGCTGTTGCTTAAAAATCAGTTGAGGAAACTAAGCTATGACCCTCTACTAAATTGGTTTTCTTCAGGGTTTGGTCTAGTGCTCTCCGTAGGCTTGTTGCCCATGACTAGCCAAGAATTCACTAGTTGGGGTTGTTAGATTGGCTGCTGTCAGGTACCTGATAGTTTAGTATACCTGAAGCATCTGCAATGCAAGGATTCAGGAGAGCTGCATAGTGCAGCTGTTTGTAATACCAATTTGCCACCAAACAAATTTCCACAGAAGTGAGGGTGATCATCTGTTTTGGGGAATGTCACTCCTCCTCCAGAATGAACCTGAAGTTGTTCAGATGCTTGGTTAGTTTACTCTTTCATAGGACTCTGTTTTCACTGTAGGATGGTATTTTCACTGGATGGACATCAAGTGTTCCTAGGCTTTGGGGCTGAGGTTTAGTGAACTGGAGGATGCTTACACGCATAGATTTGTTGTAGGAGCTGTAGAAAGTGGCCTTGCTTTAGGGTTTGTGGCTTAGCTACAGGTTGGAGAAACGCATTGTCTGCCCACTGTTTTCTTATGCATGCCATTTCTGTAGTGATACTTTATACCAGGGCAAAATACAAAATATTCCTCTGTTCCCATAGCAGTTCTTCAATAGCCTTTTTTGTGTTTTTCTCTTGTGCCAAGTGTGCTATCAGGTACTGATGTTTTCCATTGCAAAGAGTTTAATATTGCAAATGTGATTAAACAAGCCTCTGGCATTCAAAACCAGGCCCAGTAAAGTTTTAAAAACACCACTATTTTTTTTTCTTTTTTGCCCCAGAAATACCATTCAGTGATATCTGAAGGGTAAGCCTTGGGCATTGATCAAATTACAAAGCTGAACAGTTCCTACACTGCTGCTTGTTCTGCCCTTGGGCACAGTTTGAGCATTACAGGTACAGCTTCTATGGTGTGGTCCTGTCATAGGTTTGACTGGTATGAGAATGTATGAGTGAATGATAATTTATGGATTATTGAGGAAGGGACAAAGACATCTGTGGTTAAGCTGACACAGCTGAGGTGTTCACATACTGAAGTAATTCATGTAGTTCTGAGATTCTCTCAGCTGACATCTTGGAGCTCCTGGGGATGTGGCTTACAATGCAGTTCTGTGGGCATTTTAAACCACACTGCTGCTGAAAGGAACCCTTCTGCTCATCTGTCTCTCTCCCATCTACCTTTTTCCTTTTGTCACCAGAAGTATTCATACAGCTGCAGGGAACTGGGCTGGGCAACTGATTACAATGAAAACTAAAATTTAACAAACATCACTTTCTCCACAACTCGGGTTTAACACTCGCATCAGATAAATGCAGTGCAAAATGAGAGGGAGGGAAGGACAAGCAGGACTGTCTTTGTTGGCAACAGTGATGGCTTTTATAATGATTTAGGATACTTAAAACTACAGAGTTCCACTTCTATCCTGCACCTCACTAAAAAATGGTTGTCATACCAAAACTGTAAAGCTCCTATACTGCTTATAATGCACTTTGTAATTAGTTAATTCTGAGCAGCAGGATTGCACACTGTCTTGTTGATTTAATGCCTTGCTTGAGAAGCTATTTCTGCAAGCCTACCTTTCTCTCTGGGTGGGAGAAGGATCTCCGTTTCCTCATGTTTAGTATTTTGGGCAAGTCTTCAGTCTCCTGCAGCCTGTGTGCAGCCCATCTCTGGTCAGTGTGATCTGAGAAGGAATTCATAGCACAATGTAGTGCTGGGCAGAAAAGCTGATGCAGGATGTGGAGTTAAGAATGCCCTTACAAATTGTTTTACTGATAACTTGCACCTAAATGGCAACCTTTTTCTAAATTCTAGAAAACTCATGTAATTGGGGATGTTTAAGTTGTGAGTACAGAGGATGTTTTAGTGAGGAGTTGAATATTTCAGATTATTTCTAAAAGAGAAATAGTTCTTCTTTTAGTGTGAAGACTGTGCTACTGCCCATTCTTTCTTAAAGCCTGCCTAAATCAGTTGGGTAAAACACCACCTATAAAGGCTTAGTAAAAGAGCCAAAGCTCCCAAATCTAAGCTGATGGGTGTGTTTAGTTACCTGGCTGTACAGAAACTTCTTAAGACTTCCAGTGCTGGCAAACCCAAGACAATGTTGATGTGTCTACTATTGGAGTCCTCAATTTTTACTGTGTCTGTAGTGTGAAAGCCTGTTGGGCAGCTTATTTTAATACTGCAAATGGGATGGGGAAAAAAATCCTTCCGTTCATTTGAGATAGGAGATAAGCCAAGATTGCAGCAGATGAACAAACTTAATTATACTCCTTTTTTTCATTCAGTGAGAAGTTAAATGATAACTCATGACTCAACACTAAATTTTATTAGTGAAGTATGGTGAAAAACTGAGTTCAGTTCAAAACTTGCCTTTAGTATGAAAGTTAAAATGCCTTCTTGCATACAGTTGTAATAATTAACTCTTCTTGTTCACAGATAACTACTCTTATTAATCACAAGGATAAACCAAAGCGCTCAGACAAGACTCTGCAAGCAATTCAGCGAGTGGGCCAAGCAGTTAACGTAGCAGTTGGAAGATTTGTTACAGTAGGTGAAGCTATAGCCAATGAAAATCATGAATTGAAAGAGGAAATGAGTGTTGCCTGCATTGAGGCGAGGAGAGCAGGTATGTAGTTACTCATGACATTGTGCTTGTGCCATTTTTGATACGCTATTTTAATGTCAGGAATAATGCAAGAACTTTAATTGCTTAACTCTTCTGTTGGTTCATTTACGGCTTGATCTGTTACATGATTTTCTCACTTAAATTGCTGTTATCTTACGAACGGGGAATGGAATTGTGTGTTGGCTTTTATTTTTATAGGAGCTTTGGCCACAAGGAATTACCCGACTGCTCTGTTTTATGATGTTGTTACAGACAAAGAGCAGGGTATTGAGAATACAACTTTAGAGTTTATTGCTCTCAAGCTAAAACAGGGGAGTATTTAAAATAATTTGAGTGTTATGCTATTGAGGTCACTGCATTCTAAATCTGAATGTATGACTGAAGGTCAGTGTCAACCCATATTTCATCAGGACTCAGTAAGATGACTCACATCAGTCATCTGATGATTCCCCTCAGCAGAATGAAAATCATATCGTATTTGCCTTTTTGCTGGATTTGACTTTTGTACAAACTTGCTGTGTTTATGGATTGCATGTGAAATATGGATAATTGATCAATTTGCCTGCTGTCACCCTCCTCCCCCCAGGAGCCTCTGTCTAGGTCAATAGTGGGTTACATTCTCTGGTACTGTAAGAGAATGTCAATGTCATGCTATAAAACTGTTTTCTTAGGTGCTAAGTACTATTCTTTGCACAATATTTCAGGGGCTTTTCTAGTAAATGCATGTTCTTGTATCTGCAGTGCAGCCTTTAAGAAGATGACATCTAGACGAACATTCCTTTTGTTTTTAGTGGTGGTGGTGGTGGGGTTGTTTTTTCTTTCAAATACCTTCAGATCATGGGAAATTCTACTTGAATCTTTTCCTCTTTAAGGGGAGGTAGTGGTACCTACTGGTGTAACAGACTTTCTGCTTACTGCAGCTTCAGGGAGAAAATCTTGATGTTCCAGATGTGGAGCCAAATAGATGAACCTTCAACACTAACATCCTGATAGCTGCAGAATGGAGTAGTACTCTAGCCCAAGATATGAGTTATAGAATAGTTAGAATAGTTTAGGTTGGGAAAGACCTTAAAGATTGTTGACTCCAACCATTAGCATTAATCTTCCAAGTCCACTGCTAAACCATGTCCCTAAGCACCATATCTACGCAACTTTTAAACCTGCCCAGGGATGGCAATACAACCACTTCCTTGGGCAGCCTGTTCCAATGCTTGGTAACGCTTTCAGTGAAGAAATTTTTCCTAATATCCAACCTAAACCTTCCCTGGTGCACTTCCTCTTGTCATCTCACTTATTACTTGTGAGAAGAGACCAGCACCCACCTTTCTACAACCTCTTTTCAGGTAGTTGTAGAAAGTGATAAGGTCTCCCCTGAGCCTCCTTTTCTTCAGACTAAACAGCCCCAGTTCCCTCAGTTGTTCCTTGTAAGGCTTGTTCTTCACCAGTTTCATTGCTATTCGCTGGACCAGCTCCAGAACCTCAATGTCTTGTAGTGAGATGCCCAAAACCGAACACAGTACTCAAGGTGTAGCCTCACCAGTGCCAAGTACAAGGGGAATATCACTTGCCTTACTGTACTTGATAGGTTAAGTTAAACAGCAGACTGACGTGTGGGTAGATGTTTGGTTTTTATCTTTTAACTAATCTCAGAAACTTGCCTTTTGCTGTCCTAGCTGGTATATTTCTTGCTGAGTCACTGTGCTGGCCTCAAATTTTGGGTATGCAGGTCATTAAGATTTTTGTGATGGAAAAAAAAAGAGCTTATGAATTGGGCACAGTACTGTAAGAAATCCTCTGAAAAACCCTCAACAATGAGTTGCAATGTCTAGAAACATGCTGGTAATGAATGATTTTTTTTGTGATTAGAAAGACTATTCCAGATAAACTTCAGACTGAAAACTCATAGTTGCTCCAGTAAATTTGGCTGCAAACAGAAATGTCCTAATTTGAAAGCATTCCATTTGTCATGTGAAGCATGTGTTTTCTCTTCAGAGACCCAAGTAAAATGCTGACAAGACAGAATTGCCAAAGGTTGTCGGTAATCTCAGCTGCTAGAAGAGCAGTACAGTTTGACTTGATGGTTATGCTGTGGCCAAGTGCTTTTTCTCCCTATCAGTGTATCCAGGAGGAGCTCAGAGTCTAAAAACAGCCTGCAGTATTTTCTCACCAAACAATTAGACTTCATAACATTGTATGTTTTATTTCCTGGTAGGCAGTAATGGGCCTCAGTCTAGAGGAGAGAGGATGCAGACTGTGTACTTTTCTGTCAAGCCTCCCATTTACCATGGCATGGATCAGTTACTTTCTCTGAGCTATCTGTTTTAAGTTCTAACTGAAGAATTACATGGGAAATGCAGTATGTCAAACATGTTTGCTGCTGGATTTTTATTGTCAGGGCTTTCTGTTCCAGTATGTTCTCTGTGGACTTTTAAGTGTTGGACAATGTAAGACAGTCCTTTGTGCAGACAATTTCTTATGGATAACTGTGCTCTGAATTCAGTCTGTGAATGCAGTTGCTCAGGTGCCATTTTGAACATCTTTGGTGTTGCCAAGCAAGCCAATGAAATCTGTCCAACTACAGCCAAGAATATTGACTTGTATAAAAGAATCCCATGTTCTGATGGCGTGGGCAGCAGAAAGCCCTTGCTGTTCAGGGCAAGAGGATGTTGTAGAGCTATTCATGCTTCTTTTTAGCTGATAAATTAGATTGTGCCTCAGTAATTAAAGGGATGCCTTGTTAGGTGTAGAAGATAGGCCTTAACACTAAAGGACTTGGAACACTGAGTGTCTCAGTTGCTGAGAAGTAGGGAGCCTTTAAATCAATTGCATATCCTGCAGGGTCTTTGAAGGATGACAGATGTTGTACCAGTCTCTTGTGAAGGGTATAATCAGTGATGTGAAGTGTTTCACACTTGTGACTATTTCCTTGTAATAAACCTTGTAATTTTGTTGACTCAAAATAGAATCATAAAACACTGCAGAGGGCTATGTAGCAGGTTTTGCCTAACGTTAGTCTTGCTCTGTGACAGTGTAATGGAAATAGGGTGGAATGTAACTCAAAGAAACACATTTTTTAGATGCCCATATGAGAATTTTTTTTCCTGTTCTATTTTTTTTTTCCCCAAAACCTAGGAAAGACTGATTAACTCAAAAGAGAAAACATGTCAAGAATGAGGTAGTATCATCACGTTTTCAGTATTCTCTACTAGTTGACTACATAACCCGAAAGGAAGATGTGGAGTAAAATGGAAGCAATAAGTAGCTGTCTCCTATTGTTGTCTTGTCTTTTAGTACAGAGAAGGACTAAATCAAGAAGGTTGCAACCCAACAATTTAAAATGGATAAATAAAATCACAGAATAACTTAGGTTGAAAGGGACATTTAACACCAAGATTGGAGACTACAGTTTCTTGTACACCTCTTACAGTGTTTGACCAGTGGCAAAAGTGTTTTCTGATATCTTGTCTGTTGCTTTTTGTCCTATTTCCATGCACCTCTGGGACTAGTCTCTCTCTGTCTTTTCCATATCTGCCCATTAGGTAGTTGCAGACTGCAGTAAACTATGCAACTGGGTTTCTTCTTGGGATGGAGCAAACCCACTTCCTTCAACCTCTCCCCTTATGTCACAGGCTCCACCGTGTCAGTGTTTTCCCTGGTACTGGGGAGCCAAGAACTGGACATGGTACTCCATATACTTGTGGTACTCCAAGGGGAGAAGAATTTCTGCAGCCTGATGGTTACACCTCTCCTAACAACCCTGCATGCAACTGGCCACCATTGCTGACTCCTGGTCAGCTCTTTGTCCACCAGGACCCCCACGTCTTTCCCCACAGAGGTTCTCTGTAGGCAGCTGATCCCAGCCTGTGCTGTTGCGTGGTGTTATCCTGGCCCAGATGCAGGATTTGGTATTTTTGCCTTTGCTGAACTTGACAAACACCCGGTCAAATCATCTTCCCAGCCTGCCCCTCTCTCTAGCACCTCTGTCCTCCGGGGTATCAGACGCTGCCCCAGTCTGATATTGTTCACACACTTGCTCAGTGTGCTGGCCCATCATCCAGGGAACAGTTTTGATGGGTTGTATCGGTCCCTGAGGGACACTGCTGGTAACTGACTGCCCGTTAGACTTTGTACTGCTTAACACCCTCTCCAAGCCTAACAGTCAGGTCCATTTTCTACCCACCTTATTGTTCACTTACCCAGGCCATATCTCATAATGTAGTTATAAGGAGATCATGTCAGAGACCTTGCTAAGGTTGAGATAGACAGCATCCATTACTTCCTTTTTCTAGAAATGGTGTCATTTCATCATAGAAGGCACTCAGGTCAGTAAGGGACTATTCACCCTTGCAGATTTGTGCTGGCTCTTCTGAATTGCTTTTTTCCTGCTTCATGTGGTAATGGCTTCCAAGGTGATTTTAATAATATTCCTGGAGACTGAATGAGGCTGACTAGCCCATAATTGCTGGGTATTTTTCTTCTTACCCTTGAAGATGGGTGTGACAGTTGCCTTTCTATCGCTGGAAACCTGTCCCAATTGTCACAATCTTTCAGATGACAGCAGAATTGGAGTGACCCTGAACTGCTCCTTTGACACCCTCAGATGTGTCCCGTGGACTTGTGTGTGCCCAGTTGGCTTAGTCCCTAAGTTAGTCTTTTTACCCTAACAGGTCTTGTTCCTCCCAGGGTACCATTCCTGTTCCTGTAGTTTCAGATTTGCAGGCAGAGAAGGAAGCCTTTGTTCTCAGGTTTCTGGGGCTGTCTGGAGCTTTTGACAGGCAGATGTTGCAGCTCTTTCTATGTTCTCTGATCACTCTTTGTATGACTAGATGCTTTGCCTGTGACTTGATAATTCATCTTCAAAAAGGTGAATCCCACAGCATAAGAAATGGGATAATGATACTGATTACCAAAACCACTTTACATCTCTTTTAATTGTTCTCTGTCACGTATTTTGAGGCCAAAGGAGGAGATTTGGGTAAATCTGCTGTCAAAGTTGAAAAATTCCAAGTAGAGACTGGCCTGAACTGAACTGAATTTGACTGTGAAGAAGGCAATGGTCAGTCTGTTTTGCTATTAAATGTTCTCCTTCTCTGACTGGTGACTTGTCCTACAGCTTCACTGCTAGTATATCTCGCTGCCCTCACTGTTCAGATAGTAGCTGTACTTCTATAATTCTTCCTGCTTCTATTCATTTTCAGGCCCTTCAGCTTTGGAACTCACCATTTCAGAGTGTACTCTATCGTATTTACATACTTATACTAGAGAGACCCTCTAATTTTTTTGCAGCACGGCTTTTATCACCTAGGCTGCTCCTAGCAAAAGTACTTGAAGATCCTTGCCATAGCTGCAGTACCTATTCAGGCAATGTGGGAGCTCAGGGTATTTCAATTGTCAGAGAAATCTCTACATAAACACTATGGAGCGTGGAGCTCTGTGGTTTGAAGGACTGTCAAACTTTCCTTGTTTCCCTAGTGTTTGTGTGTGGTATTTTTGGAACAATAATACACCCTCAGGCTCTTCACGTGGGACCTCTGGCTTTATCAGGTATTTGGAGTATCTTCTCTGCTTAGATGACTTACCTTAGTTGAGGTTTCAAAGATCAGTCTTAGGGGGCTCAATCAAACGTCCTAGATTGTACCTTCAGGGGTGACCTGCGGGTGAGTTGTGGGCTGATCATCTTGTCTGGCACACCAACAAGAAGCATGTCTCAGAGCTCGCCTGAGCCCAGTCTCCCCACAGTCCTTCTGTGGCTGTGGAATAGGAAACTGCTCTGTGCCTCTTCTCTGTTGCACTGTTACCTAGGGTGCTCCAGACAATTTAATTGTACAGGGGCCTGTGATTTTTGTCAGACAAGGAGATCCTTTTGCTGCACTGGGTTGTAGAATTTTTAACCACTGGAAAAATGAAAGGAGTCAAATAGTCCTATTTAACTATTATCATCTTAAGTGCTAGTTGAATAAAAAGACATGAACTTAAAGTTAGTGCTTATTTGCCTTTTTTTGTCTCCTGTATCTGACAACACGCTTCTTTGGTGGCTTTCCTTGGAACATAAAATGCAGTCATCTCACTATATTGCTTCAGTCCTGTAAGTTAAAAAGTTAGTTTGGAGTCTCTTTATTCTTCATGCCTGAAGACTTCTACAGGAATAGGAAATCCATAAATTAGGGAATGCTGTCTGAAATTTGGAAGGTAGAGGGCAGTTTGTACTTCTTCCTTCCTTGCTGCATCCCACTCCTTTAGCAAGTTGATGCTGTAAATGTCGACACTGATTTGACTTCTGCTATTAAAACTAGAAAAACATCTCCCATGAATGTTTTCTTCCTCCACACTCCTCAACTCCACCCCCTCCACCTCAAATATCTGTGGATTACTGTGAGAAAACCAGTGTATGTTACAGATGGAAGAATGAGACTGCACTGAATAATAGTCCAAATTAAATATGGAGAAGGTGCCACCCACAGTCAGTAGGAGGAAGTGAAATGAACTAAGAATTGGTTCTGAAACTCTTATCCCTCAAAGCAAAAGTAAGCGTGCTTAATGGCTCAGCATCTTTTTTTGTAAGTATGAAATGTTAATTATTTGTTTTCCCTCTAGGTGAAACGATTGCACAGCTCACAGACGTGGCAAGCTTGGACCATCCAGAATCTGATAGCCACATAACAATCTTCACAGACAAAACGGGTGTGGTAAAAGCTGCAAGACTGTTGCTTTCTTCTGTCACAAAGGTGCTGGTGTTAGCAGACAGAATTGTTATTAAGCAAATTATAACTTCCAGAAACAAGGTATTTGTAGCTTCTTTCTTTGTTTTATTTAACTGATACCTGTAGTCAGTGCTGAAGTGGTATTTTCATTCTATTTCTAGGGGAAGTGCAAAACAAAATGATTGTCTTGCAAGCGGTCACCTGTCAGATATCTGAAGGGGAATGGCTGTAAATCAGAGGAATAAAATAATTTTCAGTGACTTTCTACATTTTATGTGACCTGTATTCCTCTATTGACTTAGTATGCTGGCAAAGAGGCTGTGTTGCTGCTTATTTAAGTTTGCTGCAGTGGAAATTGTGTCGCTCAGTAAAATGGCCAATAAAACTTCTATTTGCTAAGGACAGGAAGTTTGCACTGTCAGGATCAAGACAAGGAGAGCATTATGAATGTGTCCGAGGCAAAAAAAGCTGTGAGGAGTGCTGATAAAAGTCTGTGTTAGTGAAGTGAGGTTTACAGAATAATTGTGTTTTGTGCAGTTTAACTTATGCCTTGAAACTTAGCTTGAAACTACTTTGTTGATTTAAATAATGCATGAAGGCCCATTTAACCTCAACTTCATATACTGCACTGTCTTGCCTGTGAGATATTGTTGCTCTTTTTTCCCTCCCTGTATGTGCTAAAACAAAAATAGAAAAACCTCATGTTTGAAGAATGAGAGCCTGATAGGGCCTGTTTTTTTTCCATTAATTTTTAACTCATAATTGAGAGCAGAACCCTTCCTTTCTTCTTTTGGCTGCTCATGCTACCACTCTTTCTTTGTCCAAGTTTGCTTTCCAGACATCCTGGTCTCTACTTTTCAGCTTCTAGATCCAGGACACTAAGTCGAATCCAGGATTCAAAACCTACAATAATGCTGACTGCAGTGTGGCTTTAGACTTAGCAGGACTGATTCTCTGTCTTTCTGGTCTTTTCTCCTCCAGTGGCTGGTGAAGGTAGCAGCAGTTTTGCCAGTATTCATTTGCTGAAGTTACTAGCAGCTTTTTTCTCTTCTTGTGCTGGAGACCAGAATGTTGCATTTAGTACATTTCTCTGCCTTTTGTGAGTTTTTATTCTACCATCTGCAACCATACAGTGATCTGACTTAATTTACCTTTCCAGAAGTGGCTGGTGTTAACACAGATCTAGGCTACAGAGAAGCTGTGTGAATCCTTGTAGCATGAAGGGCTGAGGGATGTATCCATTCAGCAGCAGGGCATGGTTTACAGCAGTCCTCAACAGATACAAAACTACTGTCAACTATACAGTGATATGACTATAGTAAGCATAGGAGCAAGATTTAATTTTGAAGATATTTTAAGTGAAGTCTCATATTCCAGAGTACCTGTGTCTGATTGCCATAGTCATCCTAGTCTTTGTGCTCTTCTGGGTTTTGCTGTATTCTCCTTCCTGTGCATAGTCTACGTGTGTTTGAGAATGTCTGCTTCTGTTTATGGTATCAGCAGAGCAATTCACGTCTCTTAAGACCAAATCATACAAGTGATGGTGTTTTATACAGGCATACCTGATACTGAAGTACACTCCTGAGAAGTGTCAGATGCTGGTATGATGGGTGGCAAAGCAGTTCCTCCTATAAGAAATACTGTGGTAAAGGAACGAGGTGCTCGGACCTAAGAAGTGCACACAAATACTCGGAGACAGTGTAGTGTAATGTGGGGGAGAGGATGGAAAGACAGGACAGGACCATCAGTACTGCCAACTGGAGCAGATGCTGGCTTTTTGGAGTGGGTCACTGTTGCAGAAGATCTCAGCTGCGTTTCCAGCTTGAAGACTGGATGCTCAATGTTAAACCTTTAGGGCCAGGTTTTTCCTGCTTCTTTCTGAGCACCGTGGTTTTCATTGTTTTCATCATCTTCCCTATATGAAGCAAGAGTAGTTAAGTCAACCAAGGGCCAAAGACAGAAAAACAGGTTAGTGGTTGGACATCCAATTTCATAGACTGATAAAATGATTGAGTTCTTTTTGAACAGTGATCTGCTCCAAAACCCAAGCTCTGGTTGATGATCCCAGTGAGCCTGTTTCTGCAGCCTCTGTCCCACATGTACCATCCCTGCATTCTTAGATTGTGTGCATTTCTTAAGTCCCTGCCACATCTTTCCTACCTTAAAAATTAGTTTCACTGTCCATAGACTTAGTGACTGCTTCAGTGAGCTTACAGTCTGGCTCCACTTACTGTCCTCAGCCAGGTCAGGAGTGCCAGAACAGTGAACAGGCAAGTTAAGTGAAAATCTGAAGTGATGGCAGTTGTAGACTGAAAGGCAACGTGCATAGTGCAGCAGTAGCTGTGTAATATCAGGTTCTAATTCCAATATTAATAGGCATATAAAGCCTTTTTTGATGCCTATTTTTAACCTTGTAGTTGAAAATGTACATTTTAATTAATATCTGTATGATTCCTGTTGAAAATTTAAAATTAAAAAAGACATCACAGGTATTTTGCATTTTAACAGCTTCTTTATCAAGCTCTAGACAAATTTAGAGCTGTCTGTGTGGTTTCTGCCTGTATGCAGTCTGTTGGGATGTCAGCTCTGCCTGGCGTGTCTAGCATCGTTAGCTGCGCTGGAAACGCACGAGCGTTCACTGCAATTTTTATTTGACAAGAGATCTGTCATGACAGACACACTTATGCAAGGGTGACTGTAGAAGAGCTGCTGGCAACCAAGATCATATTCATGAAGTACTGTACTGGCTTAAACCAAGAATGTTTGAGCATAATAACTATTACATTTTTATCCATTTTTAGAAAAGAAAGTTGGACCTTGTATGTTTTCCCTTTTCCCCACAATTAGTTTTTCACGTTCTTGCTTTCCCAGTCATGTCATTCTGTTTCTTCCACTCTTGTACTTCTGTTTTCACATCTTCATCTTTGTGCAGCTTCCTTCCCAGCCCTTTATACCACAGCCTTACTCATGAATCAACACCTGAATAACAAAAGTTCCTGTTTGGGCAGCTGTTGTGGAACTGGCCTGATGACATAAGATGCTCAGACAGCTGGTGATAAAGCAGTCAGTTCCACAGCACTCACAGGATTTAGTAGAACATTTGCTTTACATAAATTGTGACTTTGGGCATGAGTAGCCCTATTTATTACAGAAGAGCAGGTGCTTCTAGGAGGGCTTGCCAGGGACAACCTACCCCTCCCTTGCAACCCAGGCAAACCCTCCTAGGAGCACTTGTTCCCATAACCAGGTACATAGACTGCTTTTTCAGTTGGGATGAGAAGATACTTCTGGCATAGGAAAAGAAAAAATAAACTGAAGTTTCTCCTTTTCAAGTACAATTTGATAAATTCTCATGTGGTGTCTTATATCCAGTCTGAAACACAATAATGAATTGCTTTGACTTTCTTCCCTTCTGAAGATGTTCAGTGTATTTGAAAGACCACTTTGGGATTAGCAGCTCTACCTCTAACCTGACAAACCCTAATGTTTATTCTCTGGTATATACCATGTTGTAGTGACTGCAGCAGGATAGCTTCAGTAATATTCAGCAAAAATTATCATATAGCTTATAAGTTTTAAAAGGTGCTGATTTTGCATTCCTTTACGTATATTGAGTAAGAGCTTGATACAACTTGGGTTCATTTAGCTCTTTGTTTTATATAAAGCTAATAAAAATCTTTAGAGTTTGAGTAAATTGTTATAGAAAGTACAAAACTATATCTATCAATTCACTTCTAACTTTTCTGTTTTCATTTGTGAAATGCTGTTCGGTTTTTGGTTTTGTTTTAATGCCATTTAAACACCTGCCTGGCTGTGCAACAGTGGTTTTAATCTTTGTAAGTTATGTATCTGAAATTGAACTTTGAAATTGAGAGTTACAGCATAGGGATATAATCTATAGATCAATTTTAAGTATTTATGTTTATAAATTTAATATGACAGTAACATTTTTCCTAAATCTGGAAACTGAATCCTGTAATACTTTTACTTTTGATACTGGGAAGAGTGATGAAAATGTTTTTTGAGGCTTGATAATAAACTACTCATTTTGAATGAAGCCTGATTGTTAATTTAGACTTGATTTCCAGCTGTTATTAATGCTTAAATAGTGACAAAGTATATAAATTGCAAGCAGCATGATTTAGAAGTGTCTGCAAATATTATTACTGGTTTAATAATAACATTTTCTGCTTATACCCTTGATCATCTACAGTATTTTTCCCAATCTTGCAGGTTCTTGCAACAATGGAACAACTAGAAAAAGTCAGTAGTTTCCAGGAGTTTGTACAAATATTCAGCCAGTTTGGAAATGAAATGGTAGAGTTTGCCCATTTAACTGGCGATCGACAAAACGTAAGTATTAATAAAAAAATGAGACATGTTGTAAGGTGTGAATTTCATCTGGTTCTCTGGAAGATTTGGGTTCTTCTGGGATAATTACAGCAAAACAACTGCTAGTGTCCTATCTCTAGCTTACTCTCCTTGCTCCACCTAAAGGCCATCTTTTGATTTTAAAGTTCAGCCTGAGAAATAGCACTGTGTTGGTTTGATCTGCATATCTTCCAGAATCCTGGATTCATGTTATTTCATAACCCCTTTGGTTTCAATCACTGTCTTTCGGCTCTAACTTTTCTGACATGTTTCTCTGGTAGAGAGTTTGGCAGTTGTTACAGAAAACATCTGATGCTGGCACATAGTGAAGGGATTTGAAAGCCAAGTAATTATTTTAGAGAACTCCAAAAATGAAATCTTCATATCCTAATAAAGCATTTCCTTGGGTGGGTTGGTTTGTTTGTGTTTTTTTTGTTTGCTTGTTTTTGTTTTAACTACAGAATATTTTTCTAGGTTTATGTCAAAACCTTCTTGTTTGAGTAATGTTTTTTTACTTCTCTCATGCAGCTACTCTTTCAAAGCCTTTTATTCATGCAAGAAGCTTTTTGCTGCTACTTCCGTGTAGCTAAAAGGTTTGCTGAGGCTTAAGACATGTGCAGTGAGCTCTAGTTGCTTCCCCATGGCAAATCCTCCATTCAGAACTAAACCAGGGTCTAGTACAGGTATAGAGTCCTTAATACCCAGCAAAATTCAAAACTTATTTTGTAGAAACAGTTGGTCAATCTCATGTATCTGCTTTTATTGTTGATGTGTTCTGAGTCTGCTAAGTACATGTTTTACTTGGTTGTAGCTTTTTAAGTTCTTTGTTTTGTTAGACCCTCTTACATGCTGAGGGATTTGTGTATTGCCCTCTTTCTTCCCTCCCACTTCCATCCCAAATTGGACTCTTAATTTCTTGCCTTTTGATGAAAATTTCTGGGAATATAGTTTGATTTTTGCAGGTATACCCCTCTAACTAGATATTCTTGAGAAGTTTCTGTACTCAGTGCCTTTCGAGGGAGGAATTGCTCTTTTAGCTTATTAAAAATGTCTTTATTACTGGTATGTAGTAAGTAGTAGACAGAATATTTTACATTTCTTTCACTGCAGTACAATAAAAGCTGGTGCTTTCTGTTTCTTTTAGAGAAAATATTTTTTTAGTCAGCCATTCTTTTCTCCTCATTTTTGTTTTATGAATAATGCTGTATGATAAAGGTAGCAAAATTAGTGACAGTTTTCATGACACGCTCTGTATCTCTGAGATCTTCCTTCTTTGAAATCTGAATTTAATAGAGCCAAGAATAAATGCATAAATTAAAATCTGTCTGAAAAGCCAGCTCTAGATCATGAGTTAAGCTGAAAATAGCAGTTGTCAGACATAAAGAAGCTTTCTCACAGCCAATACATCTTCAAGAGAGTTTCCTCTTTCCATTCTCACAAGCAGCTAACATGTTAGATACTGTGCAGTATTCAGGTCATTTTTTCTTTTTGTGTTTAGGATTTGAAGGATGAGAAGAAAAAGGCTAGAATGGCAGCATCTAGGGCTGTTCTTGAGAAGTGCACCATGATGCTTCTAACTGCTTCAAAGGTGAGTGAGTGTAACTTGGATAAAGCAAAGACTATGGCAGCTGGCAGGATAGATGACTCTGCTTTCCCAGCCCCACTGCAAACTGCGTGCTAAAGAAGATGTAAGAGTAAGAAACGTGAATTGTGCTTAACACAAGAGCAGTTTAATAGAATTTATCATACCCTAACGTGCTTTTTAGACTTGCCTTAGCAGGAAGTGTTCATTTTACTATACTCTGTGTATTCTTTTGTAACACTTGCTTTGCTTTCTTTGAAAAGACTTGTCTGAGGCATCCAGACTGTGAATCTGCTCGTATAAACAAAGATGGAGTTTTTCATCGGATGAGATTGGCTTTGGAACAGGTAATAGAAATTGTAACTGACTCTAGACCAAATGGAGAAAATGAAATGGCCCCCATCAGCATATATTCTGGCATCAAAGAATTCAAGGTAAGAGTAGAAATAAAATTGCTTTCTACAGATTACTAAATTGCCTCAAAACTAGATTTTTTTTTTTTTTTTTTTTAATTCCAAATGGTGGAGCTGTATCCCTTCATCATGTTAGCTTAAATAACGGTCCTAAAATGTTAGAGAATCTGACAAGAGCTGATTATAATTACATTGTCATTGCCAGAATACACCTTCTGATACCTTGCCATCTCCCCCAGAATCAGGCTGCATTCACAACTCTGTTTTGTGGAGGTGATGCCTTGGCACTGAATAAACTAAAGTATCAGGGTACCAGTAAGAACTTCATTGAAATAAGTGATGAAGGAGTCTTGCTTTGTAATTGGTAGAACTTTTATAACTGGACACAAGTATTCATCCAAACATTTAAAAAATCAGGCTGTCATTCAAAGGAAATGTGATGAATTGAAATAGTGTCTTGTAGCTCTGTTGATTTTTCCTTAGGCTTTTCTAAATGTCATACTTGGTTAAGAATAGTTAATGAATAAACATGTCTTCTCAAAGTGACAAGACTCCAAAGAAATATTTCCATTATTTGCAAACGCTGCTTCCCTGCTCTAGAATTCAGGTGAAATTTTTGTAAAGGGCCTCAAAGTATTCAATTTGCTACATGTAAATTTCTAGAAAAATACTCAAAATAGATTATATGAATGTTGAAAGGTCAAAGACAGCAGTGGAACAGTAATGTGTTTTCTGTTACTTCTGATAATTGCCCACTAATTTGCTGATGGTATTATATTTAAAAAAAAAAAATAAAATCACAGTCCCTAAACAGGAGTTCTGGATATAAGCAAGTTGTTGGATTACTTTGAAAATGAGTGAATAATTTAAAAAAAAAAAAAAGCACTGAGGAGAAAAGTGAAATGATCCATCTGCTTTCTGCATTTGTCACAACTGTATAAGCACATACATTCTCAAGAAACTAATATGCTTGTTTTTCAGAATAAGGTGGAGGGTCTTCGTGAGAATCTTTATTTTCTTTCAAAAGAGACCCTGTCGACAATGCTGGAAGTTATCCTGGAACACACAGAGGACTTCACAGACTCTGCCTATACCAGTCACGAGCATAGAGAACACATTTTGGAGCTGTCTAAACAGGCTAAAATGGAGCTAGAGCAGCTGGTTTCAGTGTGGATGCAAGCTGTAAGAGCTTTTTAGCAAAGTAAATCTTTTCACCTCTACTTTGGAAATAACTTTTTAACACAGTGTTTCTTCTGGTCGAAGTAGAGAGAACTGTGGGTCTTCCTCCTAGTGAGAGCTGATCAAGGAAGCCAGAGTTTGTGCTTCTGTCCCCTCCTCCCACCCGTTGCCCCCTGCCGCAGTGGTATCGTTTCATTGATTCTCTCATGGCTAAATTAGGCTAGTGGTGTTGGTAGACTGGTTTTAATGAAGGTGTAAGTGGAAATGAGAAAGCAGATGGAAGTATCATTGTGCAGACATAAACAGCTAGGTCTGTTGGTTGAGTAGTTCAGAAACTGCAGCTCTCTTGATCCCACAGCAGTGACCACAGTTTGTTTCTTGTTTTCAACAGAATATTTGAAACAGTTAAACTATCCAAAAAGAAAACACTCTAAAAAATTGACTCTTTTTTTTTATTCTTGTGTAGAGAGGAGAAAGAGAAAAGAAGCATTAAGACTTGCAGGCAATTTTTGTTTATCCTTTTTACAAGATTTAAATGATGGTAGTTCTTCTTGGAGAAGCAGCACATTAAGCTGCCGTCTGTCATTTGTCTTACATTTGTCTTCCGTGTTCCTTGAAGGTAATAGAAGATAGGTGCAAAAGGGGGAGGAAAAGCGGAAATGGAAAATGCAGTCCCTGTTTCTGGTGCTGGCTTGCTTTCAGTCTTGTTCCTGGGCAAATGTACAGCACAATGTTATCAACACTCTGAGATCTGGCAGATGAGTACTAGTATATCATACTTACTTAAATGAGTATAGTACTTAGGATTTTTGTTCTTTTCCTCCTCTTGGAATCAGATGCTGCAATCAGGTCTTCTTAATGCAACAGTGCAGTTTGAAGGGCACATCAATCTTAGTGGTACAATGGACTGTCATTATTACAAAAAAGACGTATAGAATATTAGCTGCATAGAATCCCATCATTATAGGAAAGTAAAACTGTGTGTAGGTGTTCAGCCTTGGTAGGCAGCTGTGTAAGCGCTGCTCAGCAAAAGCTAACACATCCTGGTGTTATCAGTGCTCTTTTTATCCCAAAGCTTTTGAAACAGCTCCCTTCTAGGTACAACAAAGAAAATTCATTCTGTCCCAGCCAAAACTAGTACACTTGGGTATTTCTAAGCTCTGTTACTGGTGGAAAACGATCACCTCTAAATAATTTATATGCTACATTTCACGTGATATAAATGAGAGCCTAGTACAAGACTATGCATATATATGATCCATGAAAGTACTTAGGTGTACCTGTGTGTTTATGCATTAAGTATTTTCATTAATAAATAACCCAGCCTAGCTGTGACTGGAGATGCATTAAGCAGGTAAAACAGCATCAGCTCACTGAGGTGGCTTTTTAGTTTCAGCTCTGCAGCTTCATCAGAGGGTGAATATTTCTGCTGAGCTTAATGTAATTCAAGCAGGATTCCTGATTAAAAAAAACAAAGTGGATACATGAACTGGGGGATATGTAGAGATATCTTGGAGTGCCCAATTATTTCCTTTCCCACTCACCATACTTCCATTTAGCAAGCAGAGTGACCGAGTCTGAGTCTTCAGTGAAAAGTGTATCTGAAAAGAGAAAACCTTGTGACCTAGGTCAAATCTAAATTCCACTGACATCACTGATCTACTCTTTTTTTGTATTATTGTATGTTAATGCAAACAACCTGGAGCAAAACAGATAATCTAATGCTGTTGATTTGAATTTTAAGTGCTTCTGAAATCTTTCCTGTGTATGTTTGAGCTTATAAGTTCACAGGCTGCTGTCCTGCTTTAGGTTTTCCTGGAACTAAATTTTGGTTACACAGTTCTTTCACAGGAGGAGCAAAAATGTGCACATTAATAAGTAAAATAAAAAAAAAAAAAGACATGCTACTGAGTGTAAAACATGCTCCTTGTGTTAAAAGTGATTTTGTGATGTTACACTTCTACACAAGTTACTTTAAAAGAAAGCATTAAATTTGAGGGACAGATGGATTTGAGAAAATGGTAATATTGACTTGAGTGGGGTTTTTTTCCCTTTAAATAAAATGGAAGGTGTGCATGTCTATACCTACATATATATTTTGTGTGTGTTTATGTTAATTTAAACTCTGAGGTGTTAACGGTCCCACTTAGGATAATTGTCTCCAGAATATTTTCGGGGAGAATACAAAATCACCACTATTTAATTTTTTTTCCCCATTGTATGTCTCTTAACATTTGGGTTGTTCCATAGATCGGTGCTATTTGCAGAAGTGGGAGTTCTATTTTGAACAACAAAATGTTGTAAATTACTGTACTCATTTAAATTAGACAATGATCTAAAGTCTTACAAGGATGTTATAAGTAACCTTTTTGTAGTTCAGTATAGAACATTTGGTATAACATTTTAGGTACCACTTTATTGTAATAGAGTCTTTATATTTAAAAAAAAAAAATTAAAATGCCTTAAACTGTTGCTCTACTTTAGGATGTTTAGATAGGAGATTTTTTCGGAAGTTGCAAAGTTTTTTACTAAAAAAAAAAAATCTTGGTGAAGTTTAGAAACAAATTCCTGTTGAACAGAAACAGTCACTATTTTTAAATTTCATTTGGTGATAGATGTGTCTGTAAAAGAATTTTTCAAGTAGAATATACACAGGATGTGCCAATGAAAACATATGTAGAAAGAAAAGTCTGCCTCCTAAAGTATCTTGAAGTAATGACACGGTGTGAAGGTGGGATTTGCTGGTTTTTTTGGGTAACGTTTTGTTGGTTGCTTTCTTTGGCATGTAGCAAAACCAGAAGACAAAGGATCTCATGGAAGACTTGGAAGTAGCCATTTTAAAAACATGCCAGTGCATGAATGAACTTAAAAGAGAGGTAAGTCTAGTTTAAGCAAGTACGAGCTGAATAAAAGCTTGAACTTCTTACTTCTTGTATGTGAAGTAGTAAAATAGGTTCCTGTACCCCAAAAGGCTAGTGTCTAGTTACAGGCAAGAGCAACTAAATCAGGATTACATCAAGGAGCTAGTAGGTGGTTATCTTCTGTGCCCTTTCTTAGACCTGATTAGAAATCTGGTGGATAAATCAGCTCATTGCTAACTCTGACAGCAATGAAAAAAAGAGGCGTGTTCAGAAAGAAGTACATAGTCATTATTTTAAATGTGAAGGCTAAACGTTCTTTGGGGATGCATGTATCACAGTTCTAAATACTTTTTATTGTAGTGTGTGCCTAAATAAATATTTGTTGCTTGTTTGTACATAACCTGCACTATTGATTTTTATAGACAGAGCCTTTTATACGTGTTTCTAGGCAGTTGGGAGCTGTGTATGTGCCCGTTGTAAATCCTTCTTCTCCTAACTGCAGGGTGTTGGGCTAGGGGGTGGCTGCCTCGTTTGGTAGGGGGGTGCCCTGCACTTGCTGATCCTCTTCTCCCCCTCTGGTAACGGGTAACACTGCTGTCTTGTCCTTTCCACAGGCAGAGACAAATATTGAAGTACTCATTTCTGGCAGCTTATGAAATATTTGCAAAGTATTCAGCTATCTTTTCAACCGCTTCATATTATTGTTCCTTTAAACAGATGGAGAAATGAATACTAAGGGCAGTGAAGTTTTCCATACTAGGCTACTGAGCAGAGCAGAGGTCTTTTGGAAGTACAGTGAACTTCCTTAGACGGAGCTCTCAGCTGCTCCAGCTGGAAACCCCCGACTGCTCAAACAAATCATGCTGCATATTTCTTAATAGAAACAAAATTAGAAACTTTATATTCTAGATTATAATTCCTGCAGCTGTGCTGAAGATTTGAACAATACTTTGAATCCCATTTCAGTTGCAGTTAAGTGCTTTGTCCTTGTACTTGTCGGGCAGTGTGTTGGGCTCCAGAAGATGGAAGTTACATAATTTGTGCACTTTTCTTAACTTTTTTTCTTGGGTCACCATTATGTAGGAGATAAGTAGCAGGGCTTCTCCCGAGTGACATTCAGCTGCTTTAACCATAAGATCATCTGTTTGTAGTAACACCACTCCCATGTGCTGAAGGAGGAGGAAGGGTTCCCAGTCAAAATAGTATGTGCCTATGTAGTGGCATAGATCATAGAGTGAAAGGTGGTTTGAATATAGTATGTAGAAGAGATCAGTATCTTGTATTTTCTTGCAGCTCTAGAAATGTGAATCCTACTATATTGTCCTGCCCATAGGTTTCAGTTGATGAAAATGCCATGCAACAAAGACTACGCCTTTACCACACTTGATTTAAAGAATTCGGTCAGGTGACAATAATGGAAAATTACCTTCTGTAAATCAGCTAGCAGAGGTGGCATAAAATACAAAACAATAGGTTACCTGTGCCCTGTGATATTAAAAGCAATGCTGGTGAAAATGTAGCATGCTGTTGTAGAAATTGTGGAGCAGACTGAGAGGGTATGGATTTCTAAACTGACAAGTCCCAAGTTCTGTATGACTTGCTTTAGATGACCTGTAGAATATGACAGTTTGCTTATTAAGAGGTTTTTTAAAATGCACATGCTACTCATAGAAGAAAATTTAGGGTGTTATGTAATTTTCCTTATTCTCTGTGTAGTGATTGGCTTGACCCCAGAGTAGCCATGTTTCTGTATGTGGCTGGGGGCTGTCCTGTCAGCCTCACTTCAGGGGCTGCAGCCTATCAGTCAGCAATCAGGATCTCTATTGGTGAAATTTAAGTAATGTCACTCTCACATGTTTTTGAGAGCCTGGGTGGCTGAGAACACGAGGCAGCCTTGTTAAAAAGTAGTTCTTTCCAATCTCTCTCACTTTATGGAAGAAATGAAAGGTATTTGAGATTCCTCAGGATGATTTTCTCGCTAATGATCAGAGGTGTTGTTAAGTAAATTCCTTTTTTAGGTCAGGACTAAAAGAATCTCTAGTGAAAAGATAATCTCTATGTAGCCTATATATAAATGAGAATTGCTAGTTCCTGTTCTTACCATTGCAAGCCTTATAGTTATCCTTTCTTCAGAGCTGACTTCATTTCTGAGATTAGTGGTTTGTGCTAACTTTTAATGTCATGTGAGCAACACTATATAAATAGTTTATAACTGGCTGTCATAGCTTTTTTTTTTTTTTTTTTTTTCCTTCCTAAGAAGCAGTCACTTCAGGTTTTGAGGCAGGAATTCAGGTTTCTTGTGTGAAATTGAGAGAAAGACAAAACAAGACCAACAAAACCCAAGCAAACAAAAGAAACAAATTTAAAAACAAGCAAACAAGCAACAAACCACCAAAGAAACCCACCAAACCCAAACTTAATTCTGGACTGCACAAGATGTGCTGCCAGGGGAAGGGAGTGAAAAAAGTTAGAATCCAGTGGAATTGGGGGGAAAAACAAACACACAAAAAAACCCAAACCAACCATCATTCTATCGAACATTCTCTTCTATGCAGAGTCAAGGCCCACTGGTGTCACAATTTCAAGTTCATTGCATTCATAAGAACTTGAAAAATAACTTCCTTCTTGAACAGCCAAGTTTGTTGTATATTCAGTGCAGTCCAGCAAAGTGAGTCTAGTATTACAAGGCTCCTAACAGTCTTGTGAGTGCAAGAATGCTCTGCTATCTCTAAAGAGGTTGCTATTTTGGTTTTACCTATGATTTTGCCTATGATAGGGCTGATTACAGGGCATAGGTAAACCTACTGTGACTAGTCACTAGAGCTAGCAGCAGCTGTCACTGTGTAGCTGTTTTTGAACAGTCCTTCACAGCAGTTTCCACAGGTCCATTGGTCTGCAAGTGTCTGATCTTAAAAAAATTTGAGGCTTCTCCAAGACCTACCTCTGGCTTCAGTCTCCTTGCATAAAAAATGCTTTTTACTTTTCTAAGGCTGTGTCACAAGCTGATTATATTGAAGCTTTTCTTTGCATCACTGAGAATTCAATTTATTTGTAGGAATAATTAATAATTATAAAATAATTATTTTCTTATATAAACTTAGCTGCTGTGTGGCTTCAGTTTGATACACATAGTTTAATGTGTATTCTTTGTGAGAAGTAGGGTGGCCATTGTGCCATGCTGTTGCTCAACTTAGGGCCCCACAAATTCATGCACCTGTTTTTTTCCCAGCTGTAATGTTATCAGAAAGCAGCAGTGTGATAACTTCATGTCCTCATTTTACCCAGCTGCTCTTTTGTTTCTCTTTGTTTCTGGGGTTTTTTTTTTGGGTGGTAAAGTGGATTTTATCTTTGTGCTTTGTGTACTAACTGAAGAATTAAAGCCCCAGTTAACATGCAGGCTATATATGAGCTTTTATGGCAGTAAATTTTTGCTTCTTGGAAAAATCCCTCTGTCTCTTAAGTTTATTTGACTTGTTACTAGATGAATTTTTTTAACTTCTAAGGTTTATCTCTCCTTTTAATGCTACTAAAGGTCCACAGTGCAGCAACGTCTTTGGCAGCAGATCTGCTAAAATACCATACGGATCACATGGTTCTCAAAGCATTAAAAATCACAGGAGTCGAAGGAAATCTTGAAGCTGTAGCAGAATATACTTGCAAGCTATCAGAGCAGAAAGAACAACTTGTTGAGGTGAGTTCAGGATTATTCTCATTTTGTAAGGCACTTAGAAAATGAGGGACTGGATTTGTACTAATCTATTCTTTAAGAAGGCTTTGGTCTGTGTTTCTGTAATTTTTATTTAATTTTATTTTCCTAGTGCACTGTTGAATTTTCTGTTCTTGGTACCCGAGCCAGAGGTGTCCCTGTGGCATACGGTCCTTGTAGAAGGGCTACATTACTATATTTGTACCCAATTCTCCTCCTGGATCTAGGCTCAATCTGAGTGGATGTATTTGGGCTAAAATAGTCTTAAAAAATGTTTATAGGCCCAAGTAGAGATTATAGCCTTTTCCTTTCAAGCAGTAGCTGTCCAGCAACAGCTGAACCCAAAGATTTTTTTTTCTTTTTTTTAAGAATACAGGAATGTAAGGTTAGCTTTCTTAGTGCAGTGAATTCATTGGCTTGAGGATTCATCCCAGGAGTATGAATATGCAGAAGTAACACCCTTGAACTTCTGGGACTAGCAAATCAATGCTGAGGATTTTTAATTTCAGCTTTAATGTCCTCTTTTCTGTGACTAATTAGTGTTCCAGTGAGACACTTGAGATTTTATTTTTACTTCAGGCATAACCATGAGGTTAAATGGTGCTTGTATGTGAGGCCTTACTCTATTTCTGATGGTGGACAGTGCAGTTTAGTTTCATATGTGCTGGCTCTGTCTTGCAAGTTCTTCTTTTGATCTGAAAACTTCAATGTTCCTTCTCAGCCCAAAGTTCACTCTTAATCTTAAAAGAAAAAAGAAATAACTACATTTTGCTTACTGTGAAGGGGAACAGTATTTCTTCCGTAAATTAATTTGATGCTGATTTGCTCAGAGATAATTTAGTCCCCTGGATGATGAAAGCCTACATTTTCCACGTGGTTGCTAATTGCTGAGTAAGCCTGCTTTGGTGAAGTCATTTATACTCCAATTTTTCCAAGTTCTTACATGTCTGATTACTTGCAGGTTTAGTCAGTCATAAATATGTGAAATTTTTGTTTTTTTAGAGACTTTTCTTAGTGATTTTCCTACACATTCCAAGTGAGGATTTCACCCTGTTTTTATTGTAAATGCTCTCTGAGAAATATCCAGCTGTGTGGTCTGAAAAGTTTCTGAAAAACCTATGAATAAATTTGTGTCTGTGTATTTATGCATGTGCATCTCTTCTCACTACTAATGAAAGTATAATTTTCTACCATTCTTTTCTTTTCCAATTTATAAAAAATACTTAGATGTGTCGCTTGTTGAGGCACGTGTCTGGAACTGAGCCCCTTGAGATTACTTGCATACATGCAGAAGATACCTTTCAGGTCACTGGCCCACAGGTATGCTTATCTTTTATCTGGCCATTTCTACTGGACATAAATACTTGAATGAACTATTTTGGAGACCTAATGTTGAACTGTTCTGAACAGTTCTTAAGAGCTACACTGTAATATTGGGTAGTAGCTAAAAAAAATGCATGCACGAGGAAGCCTGTAAATGTCAAATGTATACACAACAAAGACATAGTAGCAGCAGTTTAGTTTTGTGTTGTACCTGTGAAGGCATTTGTGAATTCATGTGCAACACTACGTGCTAGGACTTCAACAGCAAATATTTTGTTCTGTCCAGATAATTTCTGCTGCAGAAACACTGGCTTTACATCCATCTAGCAAGATTGCAAAAGAAAATCTGGAGGTGTTCTGTGAGGCCTGGGAGTCTCAACTGAGTGACATGTCTATGTTGTTGAGAGAAATCAATGATGTGTTTGAAGGCAGAAGAGGTAAGGATGCTATGTACAAATAGAAAAGAAATGTAGTTTTCAAAACACATAGTCTTAAGAATTTTAAGTGTGGCTTAGGAAATTCTGTTTTCTTATGAGTGCAATAAACAGTGTGTAGTGGTGTGGAATTTAGGTGGCAATACACAAATATATTTGTTTTGTATAGATATTGAACTAGGCTGCTTATTGGATTTTTTCAAAGAAAAATGGCCCAAAACGTAAAGGCCTGATTTGTGTAAAATTTGGTGTTTCACTTTCTGAACTGTGAGTAGTTCCAGCAAAATCAGATGGAACTGCTCAAAGAATACAAAAGTATTTGACACAGCTTTTTGCTAGCAGTGTCTAGATATTAGGGGTGTCAGGCTTTTGTCCCACCTTTTAGTCTGTCTGGGACATATCAGTTCATGACAATCAAGATGTAAGTTGAATTGTGTGACGTGGTTACTTATTTCCTGTATTTCTGGATAAAATACATACATATATATATATATAT